GTACCTTGTAATTACCTATAATGGAAAAGAATCCGAAAAAGAATATAAATATATATGTGTAACTGAATCACTTCGCTATATCCTGGAAACTAACACAACATTATAAATTAACTATACTTCAAAAAAAAATATATGAACAACATAAAAAGCAGCCCAGAGTTGGAGATAAGCCTGCTCATTTCTCCCGTCACCCCCTCTAGTCCTTGGTGATGGTGTTTTTACGGGGCTGTCGAAACGCCAGGAGCATGTTGGGGTGTCCTGTACTTTACCACTCGGCAACAGACGTGTGTGCGGATTTGTGGCCAAATCCGGCCATTTGAGGCTGTTGTCCTTTGGCCCGGTTCTCACTGTGGGCTGTGCAGGCATAGGATAAGTGGTCATTTTTTGTTTACTTCCCTCTTCTGGCTGCCTCTGGCCTCTTGACTTTCTGTTTGGAGAATAAGGTTAGGAGACAGGGCCAGGCTTGAAAAGGATGCTGAATGCGGTGAAAGGACTTTAGCCCGTTTTATGTTTACTTTTTAGCAGTTGATGACGAAAATTTTCAAATGGACAGAAAGGTTGAGGGAAATCTACAGTGAAGGGCCACATTGCCGCCACCTAGATTCTGCAAGTCATATTTTGCTGTGTTCGCTTTGTCCTGTCTTTGTTTACCCACCTTACTTTTTTTTTTTTTTTTACCCACCTTACTTTTAAAATTTCATTTCAAAGTCTACTGCTGGCATCAAACCCCTTTATCAGGCACACCATTTACTGGGGATCCATAAATGTTTGTGTCTTTAATAGGGACTTTCACGGCAGTCCAGTGGTTAGGGTTCCACGCTTCCACTGCAGGGGGCGTGGGTTCAATCTCTGGTAGGGAACTAAGAGCCCACAAGCTGCGTGGCCAAAAAAAAAAAAAAAAAATCATTTGACAAATGTTTGTGTCTTTAATGTGTCTTTAATGTTTGGATGAAATTCACTCGAGGGAAATGTACACGTCCCAACTGCACTGTAAGGTAGGTTTTGTCAAATGTGCCAAATGTCACCAATGGCCCATGAAGATCCTGAATATTCCCCTCACTCTGTGTATGAGCTCCCTGGGGAGGCTGTAACAAATCATCATCAGTGTAGTGACCTAAAACAACACAGATTTATCCACTCACATCCTGGAGGTTGGAAGTCCAACTTGGGCCTCACGGGGCTAAATCCAGGAGTGGGCCGGGCTGGTCCTTCCGGAGCCTCCAGGGCAGCATCAGTTCCCACCTTTTCCAGCTTCTAGAGGCGCCGCATCCCTGGCTCGCGGCCCCTCCTGCATCCTCACAGCCAACAGTGCAGCATCTCCAGTCTCTGTCTCAGCCTCTGACCCTCTCGCCTCCTGGTTATAGGGACCTTGTGATGATGCTGGGCCCTCCCAGGGAATCCAGGGTCACCCCCATCTCAGGGGCCTTAACCCCATCTGCAAAGTCCCTCTGCCAGGTGAGGTGGCACATTCACAGTTCTCAGGACTAGGACGGGGAGGTGTTTGGGGGCTGTTACTCAGCCGACTACACTCCATGAATCTTTCTAAAAATCAGAGTGAGATCCGTGGCATCCTCCCGCCTTGCCATACTGATTTTAGCAGGACACCAGGCATGGGCCCTCCATCCTTGACGTGCCTGTCCCATGTCTTCTGTTATCCCTTCCCAGCAGCTCAGCTCTCACCTCCTCCAGGAAGCCCTCCCTGATGCCCCCCTCTCCCTCCCTGCAGTCTGGGGCCCTCGCCTCTCACAGACTCCCTGCTCCCAGTGAGGCACCCTCCCCTCTGTCTGATTTCTTTCTCTTTTTTTTTGGCCTTTTATTTTTTATTTATATATTTATTTTTTATTGAAGTATAGCTGATTTACAATGTAGTGTTAATTTCTGCTGTACAGCAAAGCAATTCAGTTACACATATATACATTCTTTTTCATATTCTTTTCCATTGTGGTTTATCACAGGATATTGAATATAGTTCCCTGTGCTATACAGTAGGACCTTGTTGTTCATCCATTCTCTATATAATAGTTTACATCTGCTAATCCCAAACTCCCAATCCTTCCCTACCACATCACCCCTGTCACCCCATCTGATTTCTCTCTCCGTCCCCAGCAAGCCCAGCCAGGGTGGCTGCCTTGGGCACCCGTGCCCACCCTGAGCCTTCCCCACTGTGGTCTGCTCAAGGTGTAGGTTCCCCCTTCCCAGCACGTGCAGGTGCCCCCAGATCAGTGGGAGAAAGTAGGAGAAGGTGACACTGAGGGGGGAGACTGGATGATGTCTGGGGATTTCTGTGGTTGTTACACTGGGGGGGGGGCTCCTGGCATCGAGGGGTTGGGGGCCAGGGAGACTGCTCCACACCCCAGGGCACCCAGGATGGCCCCGAATGTGGAGAGTGGGCATTCATTTCTGCCTCGAGAACCCAACCCTAGGACTTCCCTGGCAGTCCAGTGGTTAAGACTCTGCGCTTCCAAAGCAGGCGGCATGGGTTCGATCCTGCACGCCACGTGGCATGGCAAAAAAAAAAAAAAAAAAACCACGAAAACAACCAACTCCCCAGCAAGCCCAGCCAGGGTGGCTGCCTTGGGCACCCGTGCCCACCCTGAGCCTTCCCCACTGTGGTCTGCTCAAGGTGTAGGTTCCCCCTTCCCAGCACGTGCAGGTGCCCCCAGATCAGTGGGAGAAAGTAGGAGAAGGTGACACTGAGGGGGGAGACTGGATGATGTCTGGGGATTTCTGTGGTTGTTACACTGGGGGGGGGGCTCCTGGCATCGAGGGGTTGGGGGCCAGGGAGACTGCTCCACACCCCAGGGCACCCAGGATGGCCCCGAATGTGGAGAGTGGGCATTCATTTCTGCCTCGAGAACCCAACCCTAGGACTTCCCTGGCAGTCCAGTGGTTAAGACTCTGCGCTTCCAAAGCAGGCGGCATGGGTTCGATCCTGCACGCCACGTGGCATGGCAAAAAAAAAAAAAAAAACCCACGAAAACAACCAACCCTGACTGCAGGCTTACAACCGAGATCTGACAGCGAGCAAGGTTTTTGGTGCCGGATGAAACCTGGAAGGAGAGTTTGGTCTTGTTCAGAGTTTACAATCTTAGTGGCAGGTGCTTTGGTGCCCCCAACATGCACACACAGGGATAGAGCAGAGGAACACGGTCCCCATCCTGTGTCATCCTGTACCAGGTCACTCTCACCTCCCCAACAGCAGGCAGAGGGAGCTGTCCCTAGAACCGGAGCCCACCCTCCCCACGAAGAAGATGTGACACTGCTCCCCATATCCCCGCCCAGAGCTGGGGGCCCTCCAACACCTAGAGACCCCACGGTGACTTTTCCAGACATGTCTCACCCCGACCTCATGTGCACCCATTTTCTTCTCCACCCATTTTTTTCCCCCCAGCTGCTGCAGTTTGTTTTTTTACCAAGAGGTTACATACTTTTCCCCTTTCCACCCACAGTGACTCCAAATTAAAGCGTGCTTTGGCCAGCAAGGGCGCACGGCCTGCTGACGAAGAGGGAACCTCCCACCCCAAGTCCTGGGTCTGGAGTTTCCTGCTGGTTCTCCTGGACTGCAGAGACCTGGACGTGGCCTAAAGGTCATCCCCCAGAGACTGGCCTGGCATGCGAGGCATTCTTGGAGACATCGCCCTGGACCAGGGTCTGCATGGCTGCTTGAGCCCACTGTGCTGGCAGTCAGCTGGGAGCCCTGTCACTCCCTGGCCTCAGTCATGGGGGGCAAACATGGCTCGACCCAGTGACCAGTGGCCAGCCATGGGCAGTTCCAGATCCTGGACTCTTAGCCCAGAATTGCCCATCTGTGTAACACACCGGAGAGTTGCCATGAGGCAAAGACCCAGATTTCGAAACCCATAGGCTCTTCCAGCCTCAAGAAAACAGAGCCTAAATAATGGTACACCAGGGACTTCCCTGGTGGTCCAGTGGTTAAGACTCCGTGCTTCCACTGCAGGGGGTGCAGTTTCCATCCCTGGTTGGGGAACTAAGACCCCACGTGCCATGCGGTGTGGCCAAAAAGTTAAAAAAAAAAAAAAGCATACTAGCCCCACAAATAGTGAGGACGCTTAAGTGGCACCCTAAGTGGGTCGGTGGGAGTGAGCCCTGGCAATAAAAGAAACATTGAAAACAATTAGAATGTTAACTACAAATTCATCTGCTTTTGGTTTTCACCATGAGCAGCAATTCTAAGCAATGTCATTCATTAAATATTCTTTCTCTGGGAAATTTCTTTGGTTGGCCTAACATTTGCAATTATTACAGTCTCTGTTGAGTTTTAATAATGTACTTACGGAAGCTGTAAATTAGATGTTTGTATTACTTATAAATGCTGTATACGTAAACAATAAATTCTGCATTCCACATGGAAGGGTATTTGGAGACACACAGGGACTTCGCCACATGCTTTGGAGAGTAAATTTCTATCAGTTTTGTAATAATTCAAGGTCCTTTTGCAGAAAGTTTGTGCCTCTAACCCCAATGGACACAGTAGCTTGGAAATAAAAATGAGATTAAAAAGGACAGGCAGGGATTGTAAAGACAAAGAAACAAGTAGGAGTTACTTCATTCCATGTAACTCTTCAGAGACTCTGTGCTTAAAACGTAAAAACATGAAACAAAGTGGGACCTGCAAGGACAATATTTTGCTTAGGGCAAATTTTAGTTCACACGTGAAATATCTTTGTGAGTTTATCTGCAAGGAAAAGCATTTTTGCTTAAGTCCAAATGTGATGCGAAATATTTTACTGAATTTGAATAATATCTTTGACATCGAAAGTAAACTGCAAATTGTTTTAACACGTGAAAGACCGAATCCAGAAAAACCATTATTAGGATCGATCATTATGCGGTTATTACTGAAAATAGTTGTGTCCTATGGGGCGGTGTGGGAGCTTGGACCCTTCTCTCCAAATACCCGGGGCCTTTGTCGCCCAGAGCCGCCCAGGAGAGGGAGTCCTTTAGAGGGAGGGGACCTTGGGGAGGGCGACAGGGATCACCGCGGAGACGTAGCCACCGCCAGTCCCCCGAAAGCGGGCACAGCGACACGCCCCGGCCCCCAGGCCCGGCTGCGGGGAGAGGCGGGGCGGGGCGGGGCGGGGCGGGCCGCGTCGCGGCGCGCGGCGCGCGTTCCCGACGCCACGCCGGCCCCGCCCCCTCCGCGCGCCCGCAGAGCTACGACGGGGAGCCTGAGGGGGCGGGACCCGACGAGTCCTGCTCAGTCCCAGGCGCGGCCCCACCCCACGTCCCTCGCCTTCTGCCAATCAGACGCCGAGAGGGGCGGGCGCGCCTGGGCTTCTTGAAGGCCCCACTCCCTCGTGCGGCCGCGTTCCCGCGGCGTTGGGGGGCGTGGCCTGGGCACTGTGCGTATAAAGGCGGGCGGAGGCGGAGACGCCATTTTGCGAACGGCGAGCAGCGGCGGGGGCGCGGAGAGGCGCAGCGGAGGTTTTCCTGGTTTCGGACCCCAGCGGCCGGATGGTGAAATCCTCCCTGCAGCGGATCCTGAACAGCCACTGCTTCGCCAGAGAGAAGGAGGGGGATAAACCCAGCGCCACCGTCCACGCCACCCGCACCATGCCGTTCCTTAGCCTGCACAGCCGCGGAGGCCGCAGCAGCGAGAGGTGAGCGCCCCGCCCCCGCCCGAAGCTTCCAGAAGCGCCGCCGCGCAGGCCCGCAGGGGCCTGGCCGCGGGGCGCCACGGAAGTCTAGGGAGCGCGAGGTCCGCCCCTTTGTCGAGGCCACAGTCGCGCCGGGGGCGGGTTCTCGGTGGGGTGGGGGCGGGGCGGGTGGGGGCAAAGGGGGTCTCTGATTGGATTGAGGGGCCCGCAGGCTACTTGGTCGGATTGGGGGAGGGACACGAGGATTTCCGGTTGGATTGGGGGTCGCCAGGGAACCTGGTTGGGTTTGGGGGCACGGGAGTCCACAGTCCGGTCTGGGGATGCGAGGTTCCGGGGTCGGGTTTGGGGGGCGGTCGGGCCGGCGGGTCGCGGGAATCTGTGCTTTGCGGGCGCGGAGGTTGTGAGCGCTCAGCGGAGGGGCCCTTCCCCCTATTCCGCGCCCCGACGTGGCCCCGGGACGCGGCCGCCCTCGCGGTCACTTTTCAGCCCCGATGATGCGCAGAGCCGGGCCGCGCCACGTAGACGGCGCCCGGGGCCCTTCTCGGCGTGGCTGCCGGCCCCGCCTCTGCCCCGTAGG